ACTGCTACTGCTACTGCTACTAAGCCCCTGAGCTCCAGCTTGCATTGAACATGATTTGTGGTAAGCCTTGGGCCGAATCTAGGGAAGCGTACGCCTCACTAGAAGGCTCTGACACTCCAAGGAAGCACAGCTGTAGGCTGCATAATGGACGAAGCTTCGTTCGCTTGCCTCGCCTTGATCCACCTGGCTTACAGTGCTGTACGCCCTGTGGTGATGCTATCTGGCCGGAGCCTCGAACAAGCAACTGCTGCTTTGACATCCCAGCCTCTGCAGCTTCTTTTCGGGATGAGTCACGCAATCAACTCGATGGACACCTGACAGCGGCTCAAATACGTCTCTTGCATGGGCCCTGGCCCCAGCAGAGGATACCATGGCGCTGCGGACCTCGCGGCTCTCCGAAGGCGCCACTCCGAAGCGGAGGTCAGTGCCCAAGGCCCAAGGCCAGAACGGCGGTGGCTCCCGAGAGGGACTAGCTCCGACACCAGGCGACTTCGCGAGTGACAATGATGAAGGACCAATGGTTGCGCCACCGAGCTGCCCGAGCCGACCGGCTGGTCCCCCTCCACCAGTACCTGTCAATCGCCCGCCAAGAACAAGAGCTCGGAGCAGAGGAGACCTCCGCCCTCACCCATGGCCAGTGAATAAACTTGTGCAAAAGCCTATGCCACAAGTACCAGGGTCTGCAGGCGCGGGCACGACGGGGACACGATCCAGGTAACACCTCCGGCGCAGGTTCGAGTACGGATCGGCCGGGCAGCAGCGGGATGCCCACCGTGCCCACGAATAACCGAGATGCTACCTCGACGGAAGCCAAGTCTGCAGCAGGGACGAGGCCGCCTCTCCCGGTGGCCATGCAAAGCTACTCCTCCGCCTCCTAGTCAGGCCGTCCGTGGCTGGTGCTAAAGCTGCGGCCAAAAGCACCGCGATCCGATGGTTCTGCGAGAACTGCGAGGACGATCCTGGACCAGCACACACTTTGCAATCCTTGCTGCTGTCAGGACACACGCCAAGGCCGGAAGCCTACCAGTACAGTGCCTCCCTCCTGAATGTGCCCCGAGTGATGCGCTACAACCTTCGCCACTCCTGCACCCAGCTGTGACCTCTCTGCAGTACCAACTTTGGAGCCGGTGCTCCTGCCCCCACCATGGGCAAGAGCCACGGAGCCTCGCAGCATCTGTTGGCTGAAGACGGCCCTGTGCACTCAGTGCACTCGGAGAATGCAGCCCTGACTGGCAAAGGCCCAGGCAGATCCACCACCGCCACAGCTGAGTGACTTCCTCTACAGCTCGCCAGAGCCGGACATTGGCTGTCGAGCGGTGAGTGATCTCGGACGCAGCTACAAGGCACAACATCCCCACAATCAACTTTGCCGCCTACGACCTGTGCTGACTCTGGATCTAGAGCACCTGGTGGAGGCTCCCCCTCGTCGCTTTGACGTCCCTCTGCGATGGACCCTCTATCCACCACCTTTGTCTCTGATCACAGCTAGGTGGTTGTTGGGCTGGGCCAGCATTTTACCGCCAAGCCGCCCGACCCGTGCGGAGATCAAGGCTCAGGCCAGCAAGGGGGTCGCAGTTGCAGTGGAGCCCGTGGTCAAGGATGAGAACCTGCGAGGCGCCCTACTGAGCCCCCGGGCTGAGTCCGCAGCCAAAGAACAGGCCAGCAAGTGCACAGCTTGACGCCGCTTGGCCTGACTGTTATCAGGACCTCTACCACTGCGCAGTCTCCGCCACGGCCCCACTCTTGTTCTCCTCAAGACCGCAGCCAGCGCTGCCCTGGATTCGGGTATGTCCAGGCACGGCGCTACTGGGCAGGGAACTGGCAACGGCATAGCTCAGGCCAGGCGGAGGGAAACCACCACTACTTGCCCTGCGTCGCCCTGACAGGCCTGTTCGAGACAGTGGGACAATCCTCCTGTCATCTCTCCCTCCGTTTTGAGGTGGCCACGGACGCAGAATGACCGACCTAAAAACCTTGTCCACTACCTGGCCAATCCATGCTGCGATTCCTGCCGTGAGTACTGCTGTTCCATCCCTGTTTCCAGCCAGAAAAACATCGGCATAGAGGCTCTGTACGGCCTGACGATATTCTGCTGGCGACATGCCTCCAGGACCCCGCAACATGGGCGGCGGAGGTGCCGTCTGCTTCTTGGGCTTGAAACCTGCCTGTTTGAGGAGGGCTCGACTTCTCGCTCGGACGAGTCCAGCCCTTTCTGGCCCACTTCAGGCTGCGAACGCTTCCGGCACACCTTGCCAGGAGAATTGTCCTTGGCCCACATCCAACTGCCACAGGCACCCGCAAGCCAAAGCCTCACACAAGAAAAGTGTCTGGGTGGTTGATCTCGAGGCCATGGACTGAGTATGACACCCTCTGATACATCGAGGGTGTCTGGGACCTCTGAGGACCGTAACCTTTTTAGGTACAACCACGATAGTTCCGGGCCCCAAACAGTGCTCTCGGGACATTCCAAGCTGTCTGGCTAGAACCACAAACCATCATCACTGTTGTATGTATACGCTGAGCCTCTCCGGCCCCAATGCCGGAGGTCGACCCTCGACGCAGCGGCGACGCAACAGCCCTGCCTGCCACACGGAGATGGACCTCGACGTTCGGCCACATGGGACGGGTAAAGAAGGAGCAGGCCCCAACCTCTGGGAGCGCTGCATCCCAAGTCACGGGACAGGGGAAGAGGCAACGCCTGGACCCCCACGACCCATCCAAGGGCCGAGGGCAAAGGCAAGCGGAAGGGAAAGACCAATCAAGCCCTTCCTCAGGGCATGTACCCGGTGGCTCGCATGTGGGCATATACTCCAGTGGTTCGGCGAAGGAATCGATCAGGCATGGGAGAACGAACCCACCCAGGACCAGCGGTCGACATGGCTGGAGGGGCGGGTGAGCTCACCCAACTTGCCCTCAGGCAGGAGCAGGTCATAGCCTCGCTCCGACAGGATATGACGATGTACCTCTTCATCAAGACGGGCGAGGAAAGCATGATTCCGCGGTCTTGTGCCAGGCAGCGGACAAGTGGCGCACTCTGCGAGAGGAGTCCCAGGACAAACTGAATTACTCTCTGAAGATCGCGATGTTCAAGCAGCCCCTTATTTCCCTCCAAGAGCGGTTGACGAAAACCAGCAAGACGCCTACGGCGATGGAGCATTTGGAAGGGATGGTTTGGACAACGACCAAAACTGGAAGGTGCTGAGATGGAACCCAACCCAGCAGGCACTGGAAGTCGAGCCCAACCTGAGAGCGGTCCCCACCACGGACTTGTTGGCTCAGATCGTGCAAGTCCGGAAGGCGGTTACAGAGGAGACGCTGTTGCGCTTCAAAAGCATCCGCCCCCTCTCCACCGAGGTCACCACGGATTGGGCTCAATTCCAGGTAGCTGTGTCCCTGCATCCGGAGGGGGCTCCGCTGTGGAGCACGCTCCAACAGTGGATTGGCCAATCAGCATGGCGCACTCTGGGATGCCGTCTTCGTCGCGACCGCCCGAACTACGACAATCTGGTGGGTCAGCTTTGGAGACGAGAATGAGTGTGATCCCTACTCTTAAATCCGTCTTATGCCTCTCTCTGCACAATGCCACCAACATGTGCTATCTAAATCCAAAGCTCCTGGCCTATATGTGGACTGTCTTCCAGGTCCAGCTCCATGGGCCGCAACGTCCGACTTTGGCTACGATCCTCAGTCGTCTTCTACAGTCCTCTGCTCGTTGCCCCAATGTGCCAAATTCAGGTTATGTCCCAATTGCCTTGGAGATCCTTGCTTGGGACCTGGAGTCAGCCACACCGTTCAGCATGATGCTGCTGAGCTGGTCACCTACCTTATGCCGAGGCTTTGTGCAGCAGGAATGGAGGCAAGTTGGGAGGCCTCCACACTGAACAGGGTGTACAAACTCAGGACCGAGGTTCGCTTGGAGCTCGCATTGTCATGACACTGCCTGGCACTCTCAGGCCACACCACATGCCCTTACCAGTGGTCCAGCCTTTCCGTGCGGACTCTGGCAGCTTGCAGCGGGACTACAGGCCTTTGACCACTCACAAGATGCCGATCCGACTTCCCCTGTTTGCCGGCAGTACTACAACTGGTAGTTCCTGGACCCTGTTTCAAGTGGTGGCCACGCAGCTCCATTTTGGGCATAGCCCGAGCGCAAGACACTACAGAATAGTGCTCTATGGCCAAAAAGAGTTCGGGCATCAGCGCACTTGGGTGACAGAAGACAACAGATCTGCACAACTTGCTACCGATGACCATGCCAAGAGTATCTATCTGCTCTGGCTGCGACAGGTGCAGAACGACGCGTGAGAATCAATGAACTCTGATAGAGCTGGCCGATGGTCCTGTAGATCCCAATGAGGATCCGAGCACGCATGAAAACCATGCTACTCGTCTGCTCGCTGGGCGAAAACGGACGATTCGCTGCGTGGGGAATGAAATGAATGCTACTGCTACTGCTACTACCTCTGCCACTTACACCATCACTTCAACTATCAGTAGTAGTCACTCGTGCGCCCACTACCACCACTACTACCTGTACGCACCACCGCCACCGCCAATTCCACGTTGCTCCTACTCCCAGCACCACTGCCACCACGTTTGCCCCGACAACCACCACCACCGCCGCCACCGCGACCACCATTACTAGCACCACTACTGCTACTACCGTTGCCATGACCACTACCACCACCACCATTGCCACTATCACTGCCACCACACTAATGTCACCAACGCTACCACCATTACTATTGCTCCTAGTACTGACAGTTTATGACTTCAACGACGACGAGGGTGATGAAGATATTCATGATGGTGAAGTTGCTGGGCGACTATGGCGAATGTGACGGTAAGTGAGGCGGTGCTTGCCGTGGTGGTGATGATGGAGTGGTGATGATAAGGACAACGTCAAGTGTTATGATGATGTTTTGGTTGGTGATCGGGTCTCATGTTTCTAGGTGAGCAGCGGTTGCCAGCTTGACGAGTGGTTGTGGCAACGGTAGCGGTAATGGTAGTGGTGGTAGTCTGGTAGTGGTGGCGGAGGTAGTGACTGGGTAATTAGCGGTAGTGGCCATGGTCTAGTGGTTGTGGTAGTGGTACTGGGAGCAATAGTTGCAGTGAAAGTGACACTGGCAGCATCAGTGGCAATGGTAGTATGTGGTAGTGGCAGTGGTAGTAGTGACGGCAGGGGTAGCAGGAGCACGAGGAGGGGTCCTTCAACTTCACTGTTTTATTTCATCACCACGCTTTTTGAATTGCTGTGGTAGTGGAAGTGGTAGTGGCAGTGGTAGTTGCAACAGTGGTGGTTGTAATGGTGGGTAGTGGTGGTGGTAGTAATTAGCAGCAGCATTGGTAATGGCAGCGGTAGTGGCAATTGTATTTAGTCGCAATTGTAATAGTACTGGTGGTGGTGGCGGTGGTGCTAAGAGCCTTAGTTGTAGTAACAGTAACAGTGGCAGCGGTAGTGGCAATGGCTTGGGTAGTGGTAGAACCCCATCACCGTACCAGCAGCAAGTGCTCACCCTGGCCATCACCATCACCAATTTCATCAGCATCGTCGTAAAGACATCATAATACACGCATCATCCCAGCGCTGTTCGGCTCAAAGAACAACACCATAGTGTTCTTGCAAGCTGTCAGCGTTCAAGACAAGACCTCAGTATCTGTCTCCGAGACTATTTTCTTCTGACGTGCTTGATGAATTTCTTGTCGTGGTACCGGGCTGCTCTGTCGCCGTCAGCAACAGCAAATCGTCTCCATAGTCTTTCTCCTCGATAGCATGCCCCCCAAACTAGCCACCCACCAAGACGAAGTAAGAATCATTCACTTGCGTCCGCACATGTGCATGGATACATTCATGTATCACATTACGTTATGCATACATACGTACATACATACATACATACCGATAGAGACAGGCAGACAGATGGACATGCATGCATACAGACAGACAGACAGACAGACAGACAGACAGACAGACAGACAGACAGACAGACAGACAGACGGACGAAGGGACTGACTGACTAAATACCTAACTGACGATCTAATGAGCTAACGAACTAACGATCTGAAGAACTAACCAACTCACCAGCTAACCAACGAACGGAAGAACACACACACACACACAAGCACAGACAGACACACACACTTGAACTCCAGGCAAACCCTGGTGGAGAGTTCCCAACAGTGATTTCAACTCAGAGGTGAGCTCAAAGTCTCATCTGAGAAATCAAAAAAGCTGATGGTTACTTTGCTGCTGTTTACTAGGAAAGCAGAGTCGTCGTCGTGGGATTGGTTTCTGGCCAAACATGGGATAGGTTTCGGTCCCTCATTCCAGACCCAAGGAATGGAATGTGTTGAAGGATTGTCGTCCCGTCCCTCTGTGTCGTCGTCGTGCCAGAGACAAGGCATGGCATATGCCGCGGTCAGCGAAGTGCAATACTGACAGTAACAGTAACATGTAACACGTTACAGGATATGGGTTCTGTCCCCGTTAAGGATACCAGCTGTGGACACAGCCACTCAGGTAGACGACGCAGAGGGACGGGACCACAATCCTTCAACACATTCCATTCCTTGGGTCTGGAATGAGGGACCGAAACCTATCCCATGTTTGGCCAGAAACCAAGCCCACGACGACGACTCTGCTTTCCTAGTAAACCGCAGCAAATAACCATGAGCCTATTAGGGACCTCCCACAAGACGTTGCTTTTTTGATTTCTCAGATGAGACTTTGAGCTCACCTCTGAGTTGAAATCACTGTTGAGAACTCTCCACCAGGGTTTGCCTGGAGTTCAAGCGTGATTGGGCATGGCCTCCCGTCACGGCGCCAGTACCGCTGCTGTCGAGGCAGTATTTCTTGAAGCAGTGCCCCGAGTGGGACGAAGCGACTCTTCAAGAGATCGGAAAGTCTCAGTTGAATGAGAAAGTTTTTTGAGTCTAAGCCTTTTGAAATGCGCGGAAACGCCGATCTTGAAGTGATCTTGAAGTGTGCGGAGACGCTAATCGTGAAATCTTGAGAGTCTTGTTCGCCATGGAGCCTTAACTGCATTAGCATCCTCTCTGAGGTTTGCGTGTGTGGGAAACTCAAAATGCAACGGGAGTGAGCGCAGAACCTTTCGCAGGGGGTCACAGGTCTGTTACTCATGCTGGGACGTGCAAACGTGCCTGCTAAGAGGAGGTCGTGCCAGAGACAAGGAATGGCACATGTTGCTGTCAGCGAAGTGCAATGCTGACAGTAACATGTAACAGATTACAGGGACATGGGTTCTGTCCCCGTTGAGGATACCAGCTGTGGACACAACCACCCAGTTGCACGTCTGCTACTCATGGTCTTCGTTGGTCCCAGCATGGGTAACAGACCTGGGACCCCCTGCGAAAGGTTCTGCCCTCACTCCCGCTGCATTTTGGTTTCCCACACACACGCACGCACGCACGACCGCACGACCGCACGACCGCACGACCGCACGACCGCACGACCGCACGAACCTACGAATCAACGAACAAACCCGCGGACGGACAGACGGACGAACGCACGAACCGAAGAACAAACGACTGCACTAAAGGGCGGACGGACGCACAGGCGGGCAGGCGGGCGGGGGGGCGGGCGGGCCAGACCTACGTACCTATGGACACGCATACCCACATACATACCCACCTGCCTGCCTGCCTACATGCATGCATCCTTGCACGCATGCATGCACACTCCGTTGCGGTCTGGGGGCCACTAGCACTCTTCTGCATGCAAAGGATGGCTACGAGTATCACACACCAACACTGCTGCTGGAGTCAGCAATAAGGGCCCGGCAACAAACTGGTCCAGCAATATCTCCTGCTGTGTCATGTGGAGTCTCACAGCACCACCGGGGCTGCCTACACAAAACTTGTCTTGCCCAGGAAGGCTTGCCCCGGAGACATGCACAGAGAACTCTCCCTTGAGACGCTTGCAAAACCGACTGACTCCAAATTTGCGCCGAAGTCATGCCCATTGCATTCGCGGAAACACTTAGCGCCTGCATGCCACCCATGCCGCTATCCAACTCGGCCGCCTGCTTTCGGAGCCGGGCTGCCTCGGTCGTGGATCCCCGCCGAGCGGAAGGTCCGACAGAGAATGGGACCGGCATTCAGTTTGGAGCTTAAGGCCATCTTCCCGCCATAAGCGCAACCACGCATAGTCCTCAAATGACACTCTCGGCCCTGGACTTCAGACGACACTCTTCTTCCTAAACACCGAAACGCAGAAGAAGCCATAGACTCTGCAATCGACAAAGTAGGGGATTTCCAGCAGCTCGCCTTTTAAGCGTTTTCCACTCTCACCCCTCGGACAGATCTTTGCCTGCGATACTCTGCGATGCTGACACGAACTCCGCGCTGGCCAGGCGAGGTTTCAACTCGACTAGCCCTTCGTGTGGATTACAACTTCAGGTGGCCGCCGGATGTCGAACTAAGATTCTCACGGCTGTCGGATCTCCTCACCCGAATCAAGCTTAGGTTCACATGCTCGACACTTTGTCACCCGACTTCATGCTGCAGTTGGGAATAACACAAAGACACCCAGATCCAGGAACCCAGATTTCTTGCCAAACCTCCACCAGACCTGAAACTTGCCTGACCAGTACACTGGCCTGATCCGGTGTCTCGAGCGCCACAACTAATTGCAGCTCGTCTTGGGCGCAATGCGTGTGGAAGCTGCCTTTCCTGAGTATGCGCGAAGGCTCGACAGTTGCAGTATAGCTGGCCCAGACTATATGTGGATATGCATGTGGTCGAAAGTAGAAGGAAGCCTTCAAAACACCCTTTTCCAAAGTTATGCCAGCATAGATCCCCTTAGATCCCCAATTCAATCACCATCGCCTCTGCTGCCCAGAGAACTTATGTTTGGAAGCAACTGGGGGACATGCTGCTCCATCACCAAAATCACCACCATTGGCAGAGGTGAGTATCATAAGCAGCGTTCACTGATCGCCCCGGTGAGTGTGAGCAGAACCACAGCCACTGCCAATAGTCTTTCCACAAGTAGCATGGAAATCACGGTTTGCATCATAGATATGAGGCCCTGTGCAAGCACGATCATTCTTGTCAACCTTCCCGCTCTGGTCACCCGAATCATCACACTACGGTGCGGGTCAATGATCTTTCAGTTGCTACTGTTAGAACCAACAGCATCAACCTCTCGGTCTCAGGTCCTGCGTCCGTGTCACCATCATCATCATAATCACACTTCCCAGCATCGCGAGCATCGCGCCCACTGCTCTTGTCCGTGAAGTCACTATGCAAACTTATCCTTGCCCGCTGCCATGGCATTCCAGCTCCTCATGCCGAATGGCAATGTCGGCACCGTACCGACGATGGCGATCATCACCAATACCGTGACGACCGTCGAAATGCAAATCCATTACAAGGATCCTCATGCTCGCGGGCATCATCATTGCGAGCAATGCTGGCAGATAAGCCATCAGATAAGCATAACATTCTCGTCCTGAGAATGAGAGCAGCTATCTCCACCAGAACTGGCATTTTCATCATCAGCACCCTCATCATCGCCAACATCAGCAGCGTGGTCAATCTCACGCTCGCACCTGTGTCATGAGACTCCACTCTACTGCTGATGGCTCTTCTGGCTCGTCTGTTGCTGCTAGGCATTCTTCTTGTGTTATTCACCTAGTTTCTTCAAGTCCCGGCACAAGCTCGGACAGACCCGAAGCGTCAATCAAGAAATCGTCACTGCATATTTGGAGATTCGCAACATCATCAGTTGAATCATGATTTAATTGTGTATCCCCAATTAAATTCTGATTTTATTGTCCGCACAGAAGGTTCGGAGCTTGCAACCGCTAAGCCCAAGAAAATCTGCCACCAGTCATTGTGGCGATCTACTTATTCAAAGCTCTCCCTAGAACGTAATAGGAACCAACTACAGTATTGAACCACTATTGGTGGGTACTAAGAAGGACGCCAAATCAAAAATCACGCAAATAAATCATTTAATGTGGCACCCCGCTGGCGAACTGGCACAGGGCTCTAAGCAGATTCTATTGGTATGCAGCGAGGCAGTAAACTCAGGATTCAACTGCTTATGGGACGAAATGCATAGACAAGCACTTAAAACCAGATTTAGTTGTGTCTTTGGAAGGTCCAAGGTAAGTCAAAATTGGTTTTTGCAATCAAGCCGCAACAACTCCTCATAGGCCAAGATTCTGACACAGCCTGTGCCCTCTTGCCCACTACCATCCACTACTCTCAAACCGTACACAGGCTCAGTACAAGAAAAACTCCTAACCGAAAAGTATGAAGCTGCAAATTCCAGCGTCTTCAAGAGCTGCTTGCCCGGGCGTCGGTGCTCCAAAGCCCGTGCCGCCTCCGGCAGCCCCGGCACATGGAGGTGGTGCGGTCTGAAGCAAAAATGTAACGGCCAAGTTTTGCAGAGCCATGTTAATATCAAGGTGATCATCATTGGCTTGGGTCAAATTCAGGAAATGGGGCCTGTCGGCATCCGAGGAGTTGTTGCGTCTGTGCATTTTGCCCTCCTGCTTAGCGTTTGGGACTCGGGCTGTGGCACTTGAATTTGGTGCTTTTCTTCTTGATATGGGTCGTCTCCGTCTCCTCTCTATTGCAATCTTTTCGTGCAGCAAGATCAACACAACCATCAGGAAGAAGAAGGAGGACGCGGAGGAGGAGAAGCAGCAGCTGCGGGACTGGAACTGGTGATGTTGATGATGATGGTGGTGGTGGTGGTGGTGGTAGTGATGAGGATGAGGATGAGGATCAGGATCAGGATGATGGTGAAGATGAGGATGAGAATTTTCATTTGGACGAGGGTGGTGGTGATGATGATGCTGATGATGGTGATAATGAGGATGAGGGTCAGGATGAGGATCAGGATGAGGGTGAAGATGAGAATGATGATCAGGATGAGGGTGATGGTGATGATGATTATGATGATCGTGATGATAACGATGATCATGGGGATAAGGATGTGGATGAGGATCAGAATCAGGATCAGGATGAGGGCGAAGGTGAGGATGAGGATCAGGATGAGGGCGATGGTGATGATGATGGTGATGAAGACAATGATACTGAGGATGAGAATCAGGATCAGGATCAGGATGCGGGTGAAGGTGAGGATGAGGATCAGGATCAGGATTCGGGTGATGATGCTGATAGTGAGGGTAAGTATGATGATGATGGTGATGATGATGATGATGATGGTACCAACTCGTGGTCTGTCAGAGCAGCAGCCACTCGGTTCTCCAATCCATTTTGCCTTCGGGACTCTGCCAACCCTCATCTCTCCCGCGAGCGAGAGCGCTACGAGCGCGCATTATCCCAAGTGCAAGTTGGCGCTCAGGACTCTGGTGCCCCGCAGTCCTGGGTGGTTCTGCATGCCAGTCGATGTGCTCCTTCGGGCAGGTCCAGAAATGGTAGCGAAGCTGGGTTGCTTCTCCGTATTGACTTCCGTGACATGCATCCAAGAGTTCGAGCATCAGGGGCCGGGCGACATCGCGAGGCAAATAACGGACACAGAGCTTGTATCAATCTCCAACTGAAATTCTGAAGCCTCAGCCCTTAGCCCGAGAATATGCTGTCTTCAGAAGCGCACAAAAAATTGCTCCTTCTCCTCGCCGAAAGGCAACAGGAACTGTGTATGCCAGTCGGCCATGGCGGCACAACTGACATGGACGTCCTTCGTACCTGCACCTCCGGTACTTCAGCATCTGTTGCCCGCTACAGATAGCGAACATTGAAGGCTCTTGCATCCGTGTGGTACCGGCACCTCGATGTGTTGAGGAGACTGCTTGTTCATCCGGATGCTCGTGGCCTTTTTCATGAAATCCTCACCGTCATCAGCCTGTATGTCTCGGGCCAACTCAAAGTTACAACTGTAAATAGTAACGCTTTGTAGTTACTCTAGTTACAACTGCTTTCAGGACTTTTGGCTGCGAAGGACATGGGTGTAACGCCCTAGGCGCTACAAGTCAGGTTTTGGCAGAAAGTTGCACGCTGCATGGCACTCCAAAAGCTTTGTGGCTTCCGTCCAAGGAGTGCCGAAGCCCCACGACCCAAAGTAAAGATTGGATAAGTATTGGTTACCTGCACATGAAATTGAAGTTGGAAGTCCTCACGTCACAGCGAGGCGTTGCTCGCAATACAGCCCCTAGCCCTATATTACGCAGCCCTACGTACCATGGGGCTCAGCTTGGCAAGATCAGGCGGCAGAGACCCCTGGCAGAGAATTTTGGAGCATCTGTTGTCTGGCCACCGAACTTTCTAGATAAAGCTGGAGTCTCACGACTGGCACCGTGACAGAAAACCAACCAAGATACACACTTGGATTGACCCATGGTATGATCGAAATTTTATATCGGGTTAGCAGGTTAGATCTTGTTTCTCCGTCTTTTATTTTCTTTGTTTGTCGCTTTCTCGATCATATCAGGTTATGCAACCTTTCGGACTTGTGGTTCTTGGCTCAGCCCGCCTTGCGACATAGAAACCAAACTGCAGGTACAAGGATGAGTCTTCTCTTCCCATGTCACTGGTAGCTTCGTTGGACACAGTCCCAGTGACATGCTGTGTCCCCCTGCCTTTTGTGACCCTTGGTCTCAGGGCTACCCACAAACACAACACACATCTGGTCGGAGCATGAAATAGTCACGAATCATAGCATGAGACACTGACCAATCATCGCAACCGAACGGGTCCAGTCCAGCGGTTTTCGGCTGCATTTGTGTGCAGGGCTTCGCAGACAGTTGATTCGCAGACCGGCGTTGTGTCAGAAACTCGGGATTGTGGATGTCAGCAAGCACGGGGCCAATGCAGTTCATTGGTGGTGAGGGGGCGACGTTGGCAGCAGCATCTTCTTTTCGAAGCATGCTCGGATGCCCGCAGCTCACTGAGCCAAGAGTGTGTGGAAGATGAGGTGCGCTGCCAGGTGCATGCATCCACCTCATACCCATGTGATACAATTCCCAACACATGGGCGGGGTTGAGGTGGGCACATGCGCGTACAAACAAGGCTTTACGCAAGGGCATCAAAGATCAGCTTTGAGTTTCTTTGTCCAAATAGGACCAAGTGCAAAAGAGGGGATCCACAGTTACGTTTGACACCCTCACAGCTTCTGAAAAGCCTCAGGCAAATCATCAGCACTGAAATGATCACCTAACCCTTGGGGGCACTCATCATACTTCCCGATCTCCTTTCCAACAGTCGCCACATACCCCCGACATGCCTGAAGTCTTGCCTTGTTGGATTCTTTTGCAAGCCTCAAGGGCCTCAATACCAAATGCACAAAAAATCCCCAATAGATTAGCGCAGCAGGCCGCTGAATTGATCAGCGGATTTTTCCCTCGCAAATCGACCCAAAATGGACCCAAAACCTTCCGAACACCACAAACAAAGTCCAAAGCTCTTGTTTTCCGCTCCGCCAACGGGGCCATCCCACAATGCAAGCGAATTTGGCCAGGCGAGGGGGGAATGCTTCGAGCCTTCGGATCACCTCCTGACGGCCAAATTCTTGATCTCCACCTCAGCCTGTTACCTGGCTTGGTTTGGGATTTTTACTTCCAAGAAATGCACGAAAAAGCCTGCACCCCAACAGTTGCATTCTTATGATGCAAACAGCAGCCGAATCTGCTTTCTTCCTGCTTTCTTGAGGGACTCCTGAAACCCGAAATGCACCTACACCCACAAAGGGTCTGGCGACCTGGTGGTTTCATATGAAGAGGAACGAACGCTAAAGCTGAGCTCGAACGCAAAGTGTAAGAGTAAAAGGCTCGGCTGATCAAGATGGGTGGCGAACCGAAAGAGACAGCAACACAGTGTCCGTGTTCAACAGTTGTAGCCCATGTCCTTTCGTGCAGAAAGGGCCTATGCTTCATGCTTGAGGCTGCTCCCCCTTCACTGGCCTGCCCCACTGTCCTGTGCAGCTGAGCCTAAGACTAACCTGGGGTGAAACGACATGCGTGGCCTCACTGGATGTTGCCCGAACCTGAACTCCTGCCCTCCGGGCACAACCACAGTAACCACGACGCTTCGTGGAGCCCTCTCCTGTTGGTTTCAGGACCTTTCTCTGGCTGGGTCACTAGTCACTAGTACTATGCTCACAGACTTGTCCACATGTTACAACTTCAGCAAGATGTTGCAACTTTGCCGCCGTTGCTTCCTGTCTTCATGCCTGCCTGCCTTCCTTCCTCCCGTCCTTCCTCCCTTCCTTCCTTCCTTCCTTCCTTCCTTCCCTTCCTTCCGTACTGTTCTCACGGGTGTCCTTCGGTCTTCCTTGCTCTCTGCCTCCTTCCTTCCATCCTCCCTGCCTTCCTTTGTACCTTGCTCGCTCCAAACCAAACGACGAGGCAACACAAACAGTCCTCGACCAAACTGCGCCCGGCCCGCCGTTGCCATGCACATCACTCGCTGCTGCACGATCTTCGGAGGATTCTACAGGATTCAGGCTCGGAGCCTACCTCGACGCGGTAGTGCTACACCCGCGCTCTCACAAAGCAAGGCCGAAACACCAACATTGCTGCGAACCGTCGGAGTGGAGCGGTGACGATCTGCTTCGTGACATAGCATGACGAGTTCGACCCCAGAAGTGTTGGTAGATGCGCATCAAGAGAGTTCTGATGACGCTGGGAAGGGGACTAGAAATGTAGTATTTGTAACCATGACACTACAATTATCATCATGATGTTTGCTGCTTGTGTTTCTGAGGCCAACCTAGGTTTCAGGGCTCGCCCTCCCCGGTTCACAGTGGCGCAACCTCCGCGTGGAGCCTTGGCTGGCAGCGCTTCCGAATGGCCCCCGACAACAGGTTCATGAAATGTGTCGAGATCCGTAAAGACTCCAACTGGTACAATCATCTGTCGACCACGAATAGGACACTTTCCAAACATCAGCTTTGAAACTGAAACGCGGGTGATCGCTTCCCTTCAGTATCGCACCGCAGCAACAAGCCACTTCCCCCACTGGAGACTATCTTGCCGAATCTGCCAAAGGCACCTAGCCGCCGTGACCACAGCCTTGCGCGTGCTCTGTTGAAACCGGGCTGTTTGCTATTCTTAACAAACAGTATAGTGTGAGGGGAATTCTTCCACGTCAAGGCTTGCACGCGAGCTTCTAGGCCGTCTCCTGAGCCCTTCCAACGGCAGCTACATCCCCCTCATGATAGTCACTCATTTACCACTGCACACGTAAAGACATTTGTTGTCGGCGACGAAAAATCTCAAATACCTTCAGAAACGGTATGCTTCGGTCACACCGACTGCTTCCACAACTATGATTACGAATGCTACCCGTACCACTGCGACTACAATTGCGACTGCTATGCTATTACTTACTTCTACTACTGCTCTGCTACTACTACTACTACTACTACTACTACTACTACTACTGCTACTACTACTGCTACTGCTGCTGCTACTGCTGCTGCTGCTGGCCGCTGCCGCTGCCGCTGCCGCTGCCGCTGCCGCTGCCGCTGCCGCTGCCGCTGCCGCTGCGACTGCGACTGCGACTGCGACTGCGACTGCTGATGAACGGGACTGCACAACGGCATCACCCAAACCGCCACATGCCAGCACCAGTATTCTACACGGGCAGTCTTCCAGCAACAGATATACCCTACACAATGACGACGACTATCCTTCGACCGCTCCTATGTTATTATACTCTACGAAATAAACCAACTAACCCCAGTGCTGCATTGTAAGTTGAGGCCAGCTTGTTCAACACTTTGATAACCCCCTCACAAAACCCCATATACAACCTTAGGAAACCCTAGCACATACTGCAAGAAAACGCTGCAAGAACCCTTCGTAAGAACCCCGTGGATAACGCAAAACCCTCCAACGACCTTGGATGAACAAACAGGAACCACCTTTTCCCCTGTATCTTTCGACCTGGCGATTCAGCCCTAAACCCTTAACCCTAAACATCCCTAAACCCCGAAGCCTAAACGCCAAACTCCAAACCCGAACCTTAAACCCAAACCCCAAACCCAAAACCCTAAACCCTAAACCCAAAACCCTAAGCCCCAAACCTTAAACCCTCAACATCCCCAAACCCTAAACCCCAACCCGAAGCCCCAAACCCCAAACCCCAAACTCTCAACCCCAAACCCTAAACCCTAAACATCCCTAAACCCTAAACCCCAAACCCTAAGCCCCAAACCCTAAACCAGAAGCATCCCTAAACCCCAAACCCCAAACCCTAAACCCTAAACATCCCTAAACCCTAAACATCCCTAAACCCTAAACATCCCTAAACCCTAAACCTTAAACATCTCAAACCCTAAACCCTAAACATCCCAAACCCTAAACCCTAAACACCCCAAAACCCTAAGCACCCCTAAACCCTCTCCTCCCTATCTTTTCGACCTGGCGGTTCAGCATCTCGCTCTTCTCCCGGCCGCGCCCCGCGCGCTGCAGGGTCTGGTGCAAGGCCTCGACATCGAGGGGTTCTGTAAGGGTGTTAGAGTTTAGGGTTTAGGGTTTAGGGTTTAGGGTTTAGGGTTTAGGGTTTTAGGGTTTAGGGTGTTAGAGTTTGGGGTTTAGGTTCTAGCGTTTAGTGTTTGGGGTTCAGGGTTTAAGAGTTTAGGGGTACAGGATCGGACTTACACTATAAACTTGCCCTTCAAACTTTCGGCGTGGATTCCTTCGTAAGAAACCTTA